ACACTGCTTATGCAAACTCCTCACAGCTGGGTGGGCCCTCTAACAGAATGAATTGGCCAGCCAGCCAAGGCTAATCTTGAGAAATAACAGCCAGCCAAAGTTAACCTTGAGAAGGAACTGTCCCAGCCCCTACCCTAACAGCTCATGCATATATCACACCCTTGGTTTGTGCAAGATAATGTCAGACTGCCTATGTATACATACTCTCTGAAAAACTGGGTCAGGGTTGCAGTCTTTCCCGCTTTTAGGGAGGCTGTAGTCACTGGCCAGCTGATAAAGCCTTCCTTGCTGATCCTGAGTCTCGAGTGGTCATCTGGGTAAATTGAGACACAACACTTCTTTTAATCTATATCCTTAAGATCAGCTTTTCCTTATCACTGAAATGGTAACTATAGGTTTAGGGAAATAGACCAGTGAGTTTTGTTTAAAGAGGTCACTTGTAGTCTAATCTAATCTAGTTCTTCAGGATTCTACAGTGCATTTGGAGCCTGTTGTTACTAGGTGCCATTGAGTTGGCTCTAACTCATAGTAACCCTGTGCACACTAGAAGGAAACAGTGCCCAGTCCTGTGCCATCCTCATAAGTGTTATGCTTGAATGCACTGTGTCAATACATTTCATTGGGCTCTTTCTCTGACTTTCCACTTTACCAAGCATGATATCCTCTGCAGAACTGGTTTTGTGAGAAATATTGTCTATACCGACAAATGCTCAAGTAATCCAATCTATATTCATTTTATCAAGAGTGAGGTTTTCTTTATTTGATTTTCCAAAATTGGGTGCCTAACCCAGTAGAAGAGGGCAGATGCACTGCATGGCCAGCCCACAAACTGTTTTATTCCCCTGTCTTGAAAAAGCACCTCTGCCAGGTCCAGTTCCCCATTTACAATTCTACTGGCACCTCCAGTTTTCCCTTCCCCCCCGGAAAAGCCAAAATGGCTTGCCCATGGTCTTAATGACTGTGTTCTTAAAGTTCTTAGTCCTACAATAGATTTATTTCCTCCCTTCCCCCAATTCATCCTGCTTACGTATCTCTGGCTGTGAATTAACAATCTATGTCTGGTTGGTCTAGCACTCTCATGAGCCCTTTATATTTCTGAAGATGGGCCATCCTGAGAATTTCTCACAAGTCCTCCTCTCTTCTCTTTACACTTATTGGTCTCATCTTCATTTATTCTTAAATCCTAATAAAGTATATCATTTCTGAATACCCCTAAGAGTGGAGCTAACTATGCCTGTATTAGGTTGCATCATACCTGTGCCTGACATAATATGACTAAAACACGTACAACTGAAAATGCACTGGTCCCATTTTCCCCTTATATATGACACATGAACAAATCAGAAATAGTTGCTGCACACATAAAATGTCCTAAAGTCCATCTCCAGCCAATAGGCACACAGCCTCTTTCAGTCCACGGGTCTAGAGTCCATAGCTGCTCCATCTCTTCATATCACCATCTCTGTTGTTGCTTCTTCAAGCAGGGATCCCAAGTGCCATTCATGCCCTTCCTTCTTGATGGTCCTGGGATTCTCCGTTCCTGAAATAAAACTTTACTTCCTCCTTTAAGCTACATATCTTCTACAATTACACTTCTGACCATCACAATCAATACCACTAATAATTAAACAATTTAAATAATAAAATCTTATCAGCATCATTCCATACCCCCTTTCACCAGACCCATCTGGAAAAGAGTGGGGATTTTTCCTTGACCCCTCATTCTAAAACTAAGCATACCCATGTACTTATAGCAATGTTGTTGTTGTTGTTGTTAATAACATTGAGTACATTCTGACCCATAGCGACCCTGTATAGGGTTTTCAAGGAGCAGCTGGTGAGCTTGAATCACCGACCTTGCAATTCAAACGACTTTGCAGTCCGATGCATTAGCCCACAGCACCACACCAGGACTCCTTTGTAGCAATGTTGTTGTTGTTCCAACTTCCATTCTGATTGGAATTTTTAGGAACTGTATCCATAAGCAAATGTCCAGTTTATCAAATTGTAGTAACTGATGCTTGCTCAGAGTATCAAACACCTTCAGGTTCTAGTCAGCTGAACAAACCTAGCCATCCAAACTAGGTCAAATGAGTACCAGCTGCAAGTTTGGGAGTTCACACACAACTCCCTACACTTTAAAACAGTCAGTCTTCACTCTTATTTCATCTCAAGGTCAATGGGTGCCAATAGAACATTCCCCCAATCCTATTCACAAGTAGACCCAGGAGAACATCAGCAAATTGAGCACTGGTTCCCTTCAACTTTCAGTCCTGGAAGAGGTTTTTTGTCTTTGATGAGCCAACATTCCTTGCCTTAAAGTCCCTGAAATTCAAAATGCCAAACTGTCTGCTTTTTTTTTTTTTTTTGGCTTTCTTCCAATCACAAATCTTCTGTTCTTTCAACAGCTCTGGGTTGGTGTGCATGTCTTTTCAAATGCAAATATATCAACTGTGGAGTTCTGGGTGGAGCTCAAGATTCCACCTTACAGTTCTGACAAATCCAATCAAGTATAAGCCAAAGACTAGCTTACAACCTTTCTGTAACCATAATTCCCAATATTCCTAATACATGTGTATGTGTATTTTACAATAATAAGCAGAAGCCAATATCCATAAGGCAGTCAAACACATTAACCTTTAAAACACTCAAGTTCAATCTTTCCCTCCACCTTGTTCTAACTCCTTCACATGCATATGGCTTTGGGCCTCTGGCAGGCTGTATTCCAGTAGGCCCTAGCCATAGATACGCTATCTTTTCTATCCAGCTCCAGGAAACTTCAGAAGCTTCTGTCCTTTCAGCTGAAACATTTTATCCCATTCCCTTTCGTTCTTTCTCCCACAAAACCTTACAGTTTCTTAGGACTGGAGCCATTGCAATGAATCCTGCTCAGAGTACCAAATACTTAAACCAAGTAGGGACCAAGTCTGACTTCCTCCGAATCTGCACTAGTCCTTGGATTCAGGGCATGACACATCTAATAGCTGTCTAAATTCCAACTACTAAGATGAGAAAAGTGAGAATTGAGGCAGCTATATTTTTCCACTGTCTAAACCACCTCTCTAACTAGTCAGTTAATTCAGGGGTTTTCAGTCCATTCATTAGCTATGGTGCTTAATTCCTGCAGGGCCTTTGTGATAGTTCTATCAAGAGCTGTGTTGTTAGGGATACCACACTTGGTTTCCAATATTATACATACACTTCCCTTTTTGGCTAGCATCATTTCTAGTGCTATTGTTTTCCCAAGACATCATTTCCTTTTGGTACAGTGACTCTGTGAATTCCTTCCTTCTTCTATTGATGCTTTCTGCATCATTCAATAATTTGCCCAGAGAATCTTTCAATAATGAAAGTCGAGGCTTGAATTTTTTCTTCAGTTCCCCCAGCTTGAGAAATGCTGAGCGTGTTCTTCCTTTTCGGTTTTCTGATTCCAGAACTTTGCACATTTTATTGTAATATTTGGCTTTATCTTCTAGAGCTGATCTTTGAAATTTTCTGTTTAGCTCTTGGACCTCCTCATTTCTTCCATTTGCTTTAGCATCTCTAGGCTGGAGAGCAAGTTTCAGTGTCTCTTCTGACATCCATTTTGACCTTTTCCTTCTTTCTTGTGTTCTCAATGACTTTGCTTTCTTCATGAATGATATTCTTGATGTCATCTCACAACGCTTCTGGTCTTTGGTCTTTAGTGTTTAATGAATCAAATCTGTTCTTGAGATGATCTCTAAATTCAGGTGGGATATATTCAAGATTATATTTTGGGTCTTGTAGACTTGTTTTCATTTTCTTCAACTTCAGTTTGAATTAGCATATGAGTAATTGATGGTCTGTTCCACAGTCTTTCCCTGACCTTGTTTTGACTAATGATATGGAGCTTTTCCATCGTCTTTTCCACAGATGTAGTCAATTTGATTTCTGTGTGTTCTATCTGGTGAGGTCCATGTATATGAGTCGTCTCTTATGCTATCTAAAGAAGGTATTTGAAATGAACCAATCATTGGTGACTGTTTATTTTGTATTCTAAAGGGAAAATCTGGATAGATTTTCTTAGACTTTGGACAGTAACAGTGGCTTATTCTGAAAACGTTTTAAGAAAATGGAAAACTGAAATGGTGAGATAAAGGCCTGGAAAGTTGTTAAAAGGAATTTTTTCCATCATGACAATGTTCTTAATCATTCTTTGAGGGCAGCAAGGTCTGTCATATGTATATTTCATTGGAAAACTTTACCGCATCCACCCTATAGCCCTTATCTTATCCTTTCAGACTTTTTTTTATTTCTAAAATTCAAAGAACATGGAAAAGGAACACGATTTGAGTACCTCAAGGATATCAAAACTGCTATTTTGATATGATGTAAACCAAAGAGCACAGGATTCTTCAAGGAAGGGTTAGAGAGACAGAAACAGTACCTTCAGAAAAGTATGGACCTAGATGAAGGCTATATTGAAAAATAATAGCATTACATTTTGATATTTTAAAAAGGTTTCTGTGATTTTCTAGAAATACTTTTGACTTACTCTTGTAAGACTTTACATATCTTGTGACCAAGCATGTATCCTTCCCTTTAATATAATTTCCTAGAGTTTTATAGGTTGAAATACAGATTTAATATTGATAAATTTGCATATATTTAAATTTATGCCAGCTTTTACATTAAATGTTTTATATTTATGCAGGTACTTTTTAGTAGAAATAATTGCTTCTGCCTAAAAATTGTATTTCTCAGAATCATACTGATAATTAATCTAAATAAGAAAAATAGCTAAAGTAAGAGAAAATATGACTTTCAGTGGTAATAAACTTAAAGAAACAAAACAAAACACTATAATTTTTGTCTGAAAGGATATAAAAAGTATTACTCATGACATTTTGTTCTTCATAATTGTCAAAAGGCAAACAATGTAAATAGGTTTATTCCAGCTTTATTTAAGCTACTGATTTAAAATTAAATAATGTGACAGTTATGTATGTAGAAGAACATATTCAAAAACTGCAAATAATCTAATTCATTTTCCTAGTGTGCTGAAGCCTCCAGGCACCAGTCAAATATCGAAGTCGAATAAAAAGTAGGTCCTTGCCCATTTGTATCCAGCTCCAAAATGGAACTAATTTAGAACCTGTGATTTAAAAATAATTAAAAATATATTAACTTAAATATTTAAATCATAAACATAAAATCTAAAAGTTTTCAAAGCTTAAAGTGAGTTTTTCTTAAAAACAAATTAAAGACATCCTGAAGTGAAATGAAACATGGAGGATTTAAATACTGAAAATGTCAGATGACTCTATAACAGGGAAGGAGGGATTGTATATGGCTGAGTGTTCTAGAAATGCTTAATAAATCTACTTAGTGAGTGCTGATTAATGAAAATAATAATTGCTATATAAAGCAACTAAAGATACAGCATCTCAGATAAATACACCTGCTCCTGTATACAATTTTATTTAAGTTAACTTGTGTTTTATTGACTATGCAAAAGCATTCAACCGTGTGAATCATAACAAACTATGGATAACACTGAGAAGAATGGGAATTCCAAAACACTTAATTGTGCTCATGAGGAGCCTATACAGAGACTAAGAGGCAGTTGTTCAAGCAGAACAAGAGGATACTGAGTGGTTTAAAATGAAGAAATGTGTACATCTGGGTTGTATCCTTTCACTATACTTATTCAATCTGTATGCTGAGCAAATAATCTTAGAAACTGAATTATATACAAAAACCGCGGTATCTCAGGATTGGAAGGAGCTCTGGTAGCATACATAGTAGTTACAAACTGGGCTGCGAACCTCAAGGTCAGCAGTTCAAAACCAGCTGTTCTACAGGAGAAGATGAGGCTTTCTACTCCCTTAAAGATTTGCAGCCTAGGAAACTCTATACAGGGTTGCTGAGTCGGAACTGACTCCATGCACATAACAATAACATCAATATTGGAGGAAGAGTCATTAGCAACCTCTGATATGTGATGATACAACCTTGCTTGCTGAAATCAAAGAGCCCTTGAAGCACTTGATTAACAAAAATCTCCACCCTGGATCATGAAGTCTTTTATGACCCTGTGGAAGTTGCTTCTTTTGTATTCTATTGGAACCCCATTTTTTCTGAATTCCCCTGTGCAGAACTGTGTAAAGCTCTTGGTTGTTTTAGGTACAATGCCTGCAAAGAGTTTGATCTTCAAATGGTCAACTTCCTGGCCGTCAATGCTGACATCAAAGAATACCATGGGGTTGACAGGGCTTGAATTTACCACCACCATGGCTCCGACCCAGAACATGAATCCTATTTTAATAGTGAAAAAAAACAAAAAAAGCCTATAATCAGACTTAAAAAATTTTTGTCTGGACTTTGGTTCCAGATTTACATAGATATGCTGATTATCCCCCCTGCTGTGCTTAAATCAGTCCCTGAGCAAAAGGATCAGACTGTTAGGATCCATTAGCTTTCATTGGTTGATTTTTTGGAAGTAGACAGCCAAGCCTTTCTTCCTACTCTTTTTTCAGTCTGGAGGCTCTAATGGAACCTCGTCAGCATGCATCAGAATAATATACCAGTCTTCAGTGACAGATGGGTGGTGGTTGCACATGAGGTACATTGGCTAGGAAATCAAACCCAGATCTTTTGCATGGAAGGTGGCATAGGTACACACTGTTACTGCTTATGTGCTGAGTCAGTTCTGACTCATAGCAACCCTGTTTAAGATTTCTGAGGAGTGACTGGTGGACTCGAACTGCCAACCTTATGGTTAGCAGTCCAATGCTTATCCTACAGTGCCACATTAGGATGCTATAGGTATACTGTTGTTGTTGTTGTTAAGTGCCGTCGAGTCGGTTCCGACCCATAGCGACCCTGTACAGGGTTTTCGAGGCTGTAAATCTTTATGGGAGCAGAAAGCCTCATCTTTGTCCCGTGAAGCAGCTGGTAGTTTTGAACTGTTGATCTTGTGGTTCACAGCCCAATTCGTAACCACGCTACTGATCCATATATCATAAAGGATTCTTACAAACCATTATCTGTCGTATACCTAAAGATAACAGATAGCATTAGAGTTTTAGTTTTTTATTGACAAACTAAAATTGTAATACTGTGAATTTAAACAGCTCTCTTCCCCCTTGAGAAGTCATGGTTAATAACTCAGCTGCTAATGAGAAAAGATGTGGCAGTCTTCTTTTTTAAGAATATAGCCTTGGAAACCCTATGAGCAGTTCTATTCTGTCCTATGTTGTTGTTAAGTGCCATTGAGTCGGTTCTGACCCATAGGGATCATGTAAAGGTTTTCTGAGGAGCAGCTTCTAAGCTTAAATCACCAACCTTGTGGTTCAAAGTGACTTTGCAGTCACAGTAACCCACAGCACCACACCAGGATTCCCTGTCCTATATGGTTACTGCATGTCAGAATCTTTATCACTTTTGGTTTCTTTTGAAAACAGTGCCATTGAAGCAACATGCAAATATTAGCCTTATGCTTTGTTATTAACCAGGGGAAAACATTATTTTCATTTCACCAATGTGGAAGTTGAAGTACTTACGAGTCATATTACTATACAACTATCTCTGTAAAGTAGTCCCGCTGTGGTGCTGTAGGATAAACACTGGACCACCAGGTTGGGTTGACTCGGGAGGCTGGCAGTTCAAACTCACCAGTCATTCCTTGGAAACCCTATATACAGATTACAGCTAAAGTGGCTCTGAATAGACTGGGCATTTGGAGTAAAACAGCGATATAATTCCTTATTTAGCTTTGTATAATGGTTTATAACCATTTAATTCATAATAATATAATGCTAATCAGTGGTGAAACAAATAATAAAGTATGTCTAAAATGACTTTGAACCTCCTTCTAAACCTACCAGCCACTCCTTGGGAGAAAGATGTATTAGTGTGCTTCTATAAGTATTTACAGCTTTGAAAATCCTATGGGGTAGTTCTACTGTTCTATAGGGTCACTATGAGTTGGAACTGACTCAACAGTAGTGGGTTGCGTTTGATTGACTTTTGTTGATAGTACTGGCTCTCTAAATCAAGACAGTTGAGTAAATCTTGACGGGGGAAGGGGGCTGGAGGAGATATTAAGTCAGTTAATTTAAGTAGATAATTGTATTGTCTGAAGTGGCTCTCCCTCTGTAATATAAACAACATACCTTCAATTTCAGTCCAGTTGACAGCAACTTCTGCTATTGGAATTTTGAAGAACTGCGCTATGTACAGCAGTTCCACATCAAAGGCCCTGCAATAGAAAATATATTGCTATTTATATTTACAAAGACAAGTAGTGTGAAAATCAATCTCCACCCTGACATGACTAGAAGCTTACACTTTAAAACTGAAGGCATTTGGGTCTGGTGAAGGAGATGGGATATGGTTCTTATGATTCAAAGTAACTGTTATCATGACTAATTGCAGTTGTCACAACTATAAAGGCAGAAGTTTTGTAACATAAAGAGGGGAGTAGTTAATCTTACATTCCAGGAACAGAGAACTCTAGGACCATCAAGGGAGAAGAGCATGAGAGGAATTTGGGACCCTCAGTAGAGAAACAGTGACACCAGAGATGGAGGCAAAGATGATGACATCGAGAGACAGAGCAGCTGAGGAATCTAGACACATGGAAAGAGAAAGGCTGTGTGCTGGTGGCCAGGAGATAGGCTTGCAGAATGTGCCTTTGGGTTATTTAAAAGATTATATATTCCTGAGTGTTTTTGTGTACATCAAAACAAAACAAAACAAAGCAGAGGGAATAGAAGCAAATACTGTTGAATAGTGATGCATGGAGGGGATTGTAATCATTGCAATGATACAAAATATGACGGGATGAGGGCAAAACTGATGTTCTCCCATGTAAACTATCACTCAATGCACAATGAAAGTTTAAAAAAAAAAAAAAAAGCAAAAAGAAAGCCAAAACTGAAGGTCATGGTCATATACAATCATATAATTAAAATCTGAGTGGTTCAGAAGCTTCAAGGAAAATAATTCACTATCTCACTGCATAACATTTAAATGACATATAAGGGGTCTACTTCACAACTCAGACATTCTTGAAGGTGAAAACAGCCTTTTAGGCTCCAAAAGAAAATTGAAAATTTCCAAGACTGATGGTTTTCAATCTCAGACTTATCTAGCTAAAGTTATAGAGCGGGTAGCATTTTCAACGAATTCAGTGAATGGATAAAACAGAATTCTGAAAAGCTCTAGGAGAGAATATTATCTAGGAGAGTTTGGTGTTCATGTTTTCTAAACACATAGTGTTTGAGGCAATGTCTTTTTCTTTTTGGTCTCTATGAATATTGGACAAAATAATACCCATCAGTTACTTAAAGTGAAAAACTACTTTAGTATGGTTTTAACTGCTCATGGGTAAAGCTAAATACATACAAGGACAATTAGGTATATTATTACTTGCATGTAATGTCTGGTCCAAATTCCTAGTTCATCTTTCCTTCTACCTCTGAAAAGGTGTCTTTTTCTTAAAGCTTTTCTTTATGAGCTTAAGTCAACACTGGTGGTGGTGACTGTGTGCCGTGGAGTTGGTTCCGACTCATAGTAACCCTGTACAGGGTTTCCGAGGCTGTAAATCTTTACGGGAGTAGAATGCCTCATCTTTCTCCTGCAGAACAGCTGGTAGTCTTGAACTGCTGACCTTGCTGTTCGCAGCCCAATTTGTAACCACTATGCTACCAGAGCTCCTTTTAAGTCAACACTACTTTCCATAAAAGATTTTGAATACTGACTCAGAAGTTTTTATGGAGTCGCATAAAAAATTTCTCTGATCAGTATTTCCTTTTGCTGGAATGTATGCTCAGGAAAAGAAACACCACTCACTACCTGTTAAACTTCATGTTTGTTTTGTAACTGTCTCTAAAAGTTCTAAATTCCTTTATCATTTTGCTTTCATCCTAGGCTGAACAGATAGAGACACATTCAAACTTCAAGAGCTTGTTTTGAAAATATTAGCACAGACTAGAAAATAACTAAAATTCATTTGTGATTTGATTTTCAGATTCCCTGATCTCAAATAATTTGAATTTGGAATTTTTTTATGTTTTGGGATAATTCAACATAAAAACTTTTTTTTTTTTTTTCAAAAGACCCAATGCTTTTTCTTATCCTTGTATTTAATTAAGAGGGTAGAACCATTGAAAAAATGGGAAGTGATAATAGTAAAAACTTTCTTTTGTTGAAATTAGAAAGTAGCTGGGCAAGTAATAAATTGAGTGAGTGGACAAAGCAGTGGGCTGAGTCTGGAAGCAGGCTGATGGATACCACAGAAACCTGTAAAGAGCCAGGAATCTGTGGCTTACATAACTCTGTAAGTGGAGATGTAGGTAGGTCTGAAAAATAGGATAACTCAAAAAAAAAAAAACAAAAAAAAAACACAAACAAAACAAACAAAAGACAAAAAACATAAAAAACAAAAACAAGAAGAAAAAAAAAAGACAACTCATGGAAAATCTGTATACAAAACAAGTAGATCCAAGGATTCCCTCTCCTATGTAGTAAAATCCTTTTCAGAAGGTAAGAGGTGACTTACCTCTTACTCAGAATCAGAGTAACTTTGGCTAGAAAGGCTCCAGAACCGAGTTAAGAGTGGGAGGGCACTATGTTGAACAAAGACAACTATGGAAAGTCTTCTGATACAACAGTAAATCCCCATTCCCTTTCCCCCATTGGGTCCAGTGAATGCTGGCAGCCAGACTCATATCTTTTATTCTTCATTGAAGAATCTTGCTTTAATGAAAATTACCAGTCCAAGAGAAGAGATCAAAACATTATAGTTGAGAGTTTCCCAAGAGCACAAGCCAGCTAGGTTATGAAAGGGAAAAAACAACCTGGCGCCGCTCATCAACCACACTGCACACCAGATGACCCGTGTAGAGACTTTTATTCAGGGTGAGGAAGAGGAAGGTGACCTCTGCTGGAGAGAGAAGGCAGAAGGCAGAAAGAAAAGAGGGCAGGAAAAAAAAAGAGAAGAGGAAGTCAACGGGAAGGGAGTGGTCTTATATAGATTCAACAAGAAGGGCATGGTTATGGCTAAGGTGATTCAGCTGTGGCCTATCAAAAGCCATGTTGCCCTTTAAACTATGCAGCTTGTAGTTTAGGGCGGGGAAACAGACAAAATGGAGTTTAAGGGAGAAGAGAGGGAAGAACCCGGAAGGTACAGCTTAAAATGGTGGACCTGATATTGTAACAGGTTAAGCAGACATTAATTCAACCAATGAATCAGAGATGCTGCCCAAACACAGTCTTCAAAGAACTTTTCAGTACTATACTAAAAACATCTGAGAAAAGCCTTTAATAATGAAAACATACAAAAAGAGAGAGAAAAAAAAAAAAAAGAGGAAGCAAACAATTCTGTGCAAGAAGAAAATATCAAAGTTTTAGAAATCTCTTCGAAAGAACAAAAGTAGAAAAGAAGAGAGAAAATAAAATTTTACAATTAGTAAGGAGGTTCTAGATGGAAGAGACAAAAGAGGAGATTGTCAAATAAATGATTCAACATTTTCATTCACGAAGACAAAGTTCTAAACACACAGGCTGAATGAGTGTGGGAGGGAGAGTGGACTATACCACGAATATATATAGGTGTGGCTCTGTGGGTTAATGCATTGGACTTCAAGGTTGGTTTGAACCATAAGGTTGGCAGTTCAAGCTCACCAGCTGCTCCTCAAAAACTCTATACAGGGTCGCTATGGATCAGAACGGACTTGATGGCACTTAACAACAACATATATAGGTTTTACAGAGAATGTTTATGCCTGGGTATTTCCCTTTGCTGTAACTATATCCATGAATATGATGGAGTGTATACAATAAGCAAAGTTATGAAAATTTGTTATACATAAACAAACACCCTTTTCAAAAAACAAAAAAAAAAAAGCAAAGACAAAAGTTTGGAATCCAAGCCAGCTTAACACATTTTATTTATCTGTCCCTTTTTTGTTGTTGCTGTTAAGTACCCTGGAGTTGGTTCCGACTCACAGTGACCCTGTACAGGGTTTCTGAGGCTGCAAATCTTTACGGGATCAGAAAGCCTCATCTTCCTCCCACGGACAGCTGTTAGTTTTGAACTGCTGACCTTGAGGTTAGCAGCCCAATTCGTTAAGTCTCCTGTAATCTAGAACTGTCCTCGGTTTTCGCTTTTTCTTAACATACTTATTATTATTATTTTGGTAGCAATATACATATAAGAAATCCTGGTATGGTGCCTATAGGATAACACTGAACTGCTGGCCACAAAGTTGGTGGTTCAAACTCATCAGCTGCTCCTTGGAAACCCAACACAGGGTCAGTCACTATGAACTGACTCGACGGCACTTAACCACATACAAGACATTTGCTACTTCAATCATTTTGACATGTATAATCCTGCCTCTCCAACTACACTCTCCATGTAATACAACCATCACCATTTCCAAATCGTTATCTTTCTCCTTTCTGTGTTTCCTGGCTTCCATATTTTCATTTGTGGGAACGTTCCCAATAGTTTGTACTAATGAGAAAAATATATATACGTTGTTTCCTTTCTAGCACATGAAAAAATAAATCACAGAACAACAAAAAAAGCAATTTCCTTGTGTTTTTTCCCCCCCTCCTTTCTTTTTAACTGTTTTTTCCGCCGCCCAAGTTAGCACGGGTCTACACTATACCAAGTGTATAATTCTCCCTTTCCTTCCATGTCTTGACTTTTTGCAGTAGTGGTCTCATACATTATCTGTTCTTCAAGATTAACTAATTTCATTCAGCATAATGTCCTCCAGGTTCTCCATGTTATGTGGTGTTTTGCAGATTCATCATCAGTTTTTAATATTGCATAATATTCCATTGTGCATATGTTCCAGTGTGTTCAACTAGTCCTCTGCTGATGGGCATCTATGCTGCCTCCATTGTTTTGTTATTGTGAATAATGTTGCCATGAACATGGTCATGCATATATTGATTGCGTTATGGCTCTTATTTCTTGAGCATATATATCACATAGAGGTATACATCCTCTACTTGCTAGGTCGTATGGTATTTCTAGTTCCAGTCTTCTGAGAAGGTACCATACTGTTTTCCACTGCAGTTGCTCCATTTTTGCACAGGGAATGAATCACTCAGCCCAGAGTTTCTAAGGGCCCCAAGGTCAACAGACAAAACAATGTCCAAAAGACATTCTACTTTGGTGAGTATCAACGGGGGTCTTAAAAGCAATTGTCCAGAGGAAAAAACTGAAACACATGGAAACAA